GTACATAAATGAGCCGTCCCAGGCACAGATAGCGTTTGCGTACGGATGTTTGCGGGCGAATATGGCGATACGCTCATGGATCGGGAGAAGAGCATCGATGTCGACCGGCGTTCTGCGGTTCCATATCTGCAACTGTTGACGGTCCGACTGGCTGTGGGTTTGCAGGGCATCTAGTCGGGTGGTTTGATTGGATATAACTTGGCGAAGCACGGTCTCAAGCTGTTCCAGTAAGCTCTCGACCTCACGGGAGGGAAGTACGGCTTCATCGTAGACAGCCATAATGTCGACCACCCCCGGCCCCAGCTGGGGAATGACAGTGAGTACGTGCGAATTGAACTTTAGTTGCTCCTCCTGGTTTCTCGGGGTGTCATGGAGGAGTGTCCCTTCGACTTGTAAGGATTTGGGTTGAATAACGAGCATGCTTTGGAAAGTACAGGCCAAATTTGCCTCCGAACTCGCGCGGCGGATATGCTGTAAACCGGTCTGCTCAAACAAAACAATCCGAGAGTCGAGCGCCTGGATGTCATCCAACGTCTCTTGAACGGATGCACTCGGCTGCAGACGGACGCGCAGAGGGTAAGACGCAATGGCCGGGCCGGCCATTCTCTCGACTCCGTCGACGGGGGCGGTACGCCCGGAAACAGTTGTGCCAAAGACCACATCGTTGGAGTTGGTCCGTGATGACATGACAATTGCCCAGGAGAGCTTGATCTTGTTGGCTAATGTACTTCCAGGTGCATCCGGGTGCCCATGAAGGCGGACCTGGCGGGTTATGGAGGCGTTCACGCCCGGCCTCACCCATCCGGGCGGGCAAGCCGGAAATACTGGCGCTTCCAGATCTCGAAACTCGTTCGACCAGAATTCCATGGATGATGACTTGTCTATTTGCGAAATATATTTGACAAAGCGACTCAATGATGCCCGTGGGGGAACAGAAACGGATTTGTACCCGTCGTCGATATCGCCGAGCAGCTGCAAATATGACCAGCCATCGAACACTGCGTGATGAAGGGTGAGGATGAAGAGTGGCACCCTGCTCTGGTCATCGTCCGCTACCTGAAAAGAACAGAGAGGAGCACCCAGAACGTTTGTAGACATAGATCGACAATCGGCTGTCCACCCAGCCGGATCTTTGACGACCACCTGAAGAAGACGGCCGTCTTCGAGCTGGACGATGCGAGTCCGATAAATAGGATTAACCGCTACAATAGCTTCACAGACGGATTTGAACCGCTCCAGGTCCACGGACTTCGACAGACGGAACACAAACCTTCCCACGAAGGAGTCAGGGTTTTTGCTCGATAGTGAAACGAGGCCCTCCTGCAGGGGCGTACAAGGGTAGATGTCTTCAATATGCTCCCTGGGCACCTGGCATTGACCTGATGCTGCCTCTACCGTGCTATCCACGTCGCTGATTAGCGCGAATGGGGTGGGATCCACCATAACTTCATACTTGCGAACAATCGATGCCAGCTGTATGGGAGTCTGATGGAGCAGGACCTCAGCCGCTGAAAGAGACAGGCCTCGTTCTCGAGCCTTGGCTGCCAACGCAATGGCCAGAATGGAGGTGCCCCCAAGGGCAAAAAAGGGGCTGTGGCTGACAGGTCTTTCCTGGCGTAGTCCCAGGACTTCCTTGAAGAGGCTGCATATTGTCGCCAATGGCTCAGTGTCTTCTTGGTCGGCTAGTTCCTCTCCGTAAGGCCTGGAGGGAGCTTCGGCCATTTCTTGCAACGCCTGACTTAACAACAGTCGGCGGTCGACCTTCCCTGTGGCCCCGAGTGGAAATCGCTTCCTGGGGAGATACAAGGTGGGAACCATGAATGGGGGCAACCGCTCGGACAACCAGGCTTGGAAATCGGACATGGAAGGATAAGAGCTTGTATCCTCTCCCACCTGCACGAACAGTGTGAGAATTTTGGCATTCTTTGTCGGAAGAACATCAGCTATGGCAGTGGTATCCGCACGCAGCTCTCGGGCGCAGTGCTCTATCTCCTGTAATTCGATACGCTGCCCATTCACCTTCACTTGCAGATCCTTGCGGCCGACAAAGCGTAGTGTGCCATCCTCCACGTTGTATTTGACCAGGTCTCCGGTTTTGTAAAACCGTTCGTCGGAGGACAGCCCAAACAGCGAGGCCCACGGGGGACGCTCAATGAACGCCTGCTCTTCCGGTCGATTCCTATACCCTCGCGCGACGATAGGGCCGCTGACTACAAGCTCCCCTGTTTCACCGAGAGGCTGCAGCCGGTCGTGATTTTCCGGATTGACGACCCAGCATTGGCCGCCGTATGATCGACCGATATTGTATGGATCCGATCCTTCCACAGGAGACTGCACCGTACTCACGATACTGCATTCGGCTGGTCCATATGCGACGAGCAGCTGAACATGCTGGGCCCACGTGGACACATCATCCAGATGCAGGGATTCTCCACCAAGAACGAGAGTCTTCACATTCGGGACGGCTTCTGGCGTGAGCGATTTAGCCACTGAAGGGGTCAACTCCAGCCAATTCGCCCTCAGCTGTCGGATGGCGGGGGCAAGATGATCGAGGCGCTGTGATTCCGATGGCACGCACACACAGCCGCCCACAATCAGGGGAGCCAGCATCTCTTGGATACTGATGTCAAATCCGTACGAGGCGAATTGCATCACGCGACTATCGGCGTTGATTTTCTGGGCCTCGCTGTGCGCCAGGACGCTTGCTAAGAAGGATCGGTGCTCTACCACGATTCCCTTGGGTTTGCCTGTAGACCCAGAAGTGTATGCGATGTATGCTGCGTTCTCCGGGACGGATGGACCGGCGACAATGAAGTCCGTCGAACAAAGGGAAGAGATATTGCTGTCTGTAACGACCAAGGTATGTGCGTTCTGGCCCAGTCGTTTGCTGAGGTTCTGGTTTGAAGGCGAGGAGATGATGATTTGGGCGTCGACGTCAGCATAGATCTCGGCCAGACGCGCTTCAGGATAGGATGGATCCAAAAGCACAAACGCTCCGCCGGCTTTCAGTACTGCTATAATAGCGACGATCGTCCATCGGGATTTCTCGTAACAGACCGGCACCACCATCTCTGGCTGGATTCCCGCGGTCTGGAGTTCTTTCGCCAACCTATTGGATAGTTGGTTCAGCTCGGAGTAAGACAAAGTACCGTCCCACGCACAGACTGCTTCGGATGCGGGCCGTTTAGCGCATTGTTGCTCAATGAGAGTATGAATACATGTATGGACTCCGGGTAGCTTGATCCGACTGTTCCATTCGTACAGAAGTCGGATATCCTCATCGCTAATATCTCCTCTTGCCATTGACCTCCCAGGGCAATGCCTCGACTGCCAATCCGAATCTGAGGAGGGTTTTGCCTGTTGGTGAGAATCTTCATATTCGCCATTCTGAGATGTAGTATCCGGGGTTGCGGTATCTGATGGCTGGTCCGTCTCCCTTTGATGGGATATTTTGTTGGACTTAGCCCCGTGACCCGGCCTTGACTTGGTAATATACATTTTCTCAGTAGCCGTAAGTTCAGGATTCATCGGGCGATGGTGTGACAGGGCTTTTTAAGCTTAAACTCAGAGTATTAAACAGGTATATGTACCCGGTACAAGACTTCTTTTAATGTTGCCGGTTGTAGGCGCCTCACTGTGGAAACCAAAGAATCCCTCCACGCGCATAACTTACATGAAATCGATTATGTCCCTACGTGGCTAGCTCATGCGGCGTCCGTACTTGGAAATGATATGAGTTCAGCTTGCCTAGTCCTTGCTTGTTGGTCATTTTCACAACTCTGGATTCAGCTCTCCGTTACAGAATTGTGACTATTTAAAATTGCGATCATCACTAATGATGCGATATACATGTTGCCCAAGCGTGATCATTCCTAGTTTGGATAGTGCAGCTTGTAGGGGCACTTTCCCCAATATCTTAGTACATGTTGTCCATTCGGATACTCTTGTTTCTGCAATAAAATCCTTTGCGTACTGCATGGCTCCCTGCTTGAAGAAACTCCGCGGCACTCCCCGCTGATGGTTCCTTCCCACATTCCTGGAGTCAACCATGCGTAGGCATCTTCTACGCCCACTCGACAAAGGTTAACAGGCTGGGCGCGGTGTTTTTTTTAACCCCTCTGCTATGGGGATGTTGAGTGTGCGTGTGTAACCCACATTTTGACGTTCTCACATTCGGGAAGGGGACCGCTTGGCCTGCCGGTGGATACAAGCTCACATGACCTCGACCGCATGGAATGTGGACGCTTTTCGGCGGAATAAAATCTCTCGTGTATGGTGAGATGTTCCAAACACGATGCAGGGCAAGTCTCGTTTACATTCATTGCATGTGGTTCAGCTCCCTCGTAGCGACATAACGACATGTACGGCGAGCTTGTGTGAGCACGATGCAAGGTAGGGTACTAGACTAGCCCCCTTGCGGTGAGATGCATCATATATGGTGAGGCTGCCTGAGCATGATTCATGGTAAGTCTCAGTTGTAGCCATGTCATACGGTTCAATGCGGACTGGTAGATGAGCGTAAGGGACCTAATGGTATCCCACTGTATAGAGTGACAACCTTGGGGTCTTACGATCCCCATACTTTGTATCAAGTACTAATAGACAAACAGATCGCAGAAAGAAAGATAAGCTATACGTGTCATTGGATTGTAGGCTGCTTTTTTACCTATCTTCACGGTTTCCTATTCGCAAAGAATAGACTTCATGGCTCGCGAAGGCCACTTTTCAGATCTTCATCAAGACGGAATATAATTTTCGCAAACTAAGCTACGGAAGATTTTCGTCCTCCTTGCAGGAAAGTTTATCGACCTTGCAGGAGTCCCCGGATCCTGCAAACCATACTTCCACCATCCTCGATAGTGCCTACGGAACAGCCGTTCTACCGGACCTGAGTCACAATGTTCTGCAGTCCCAGCGAACATCGAATGGAAACCCAAATTGCAGTGATATATTTGCTCCTTTGCTCACTTGCGCGAAGGAAGAGGTCCGGGGGAGGGGTGGCAGGATACAAAGGAAACTGTTGGATTCACAAGACACTGTGCTTCCGACCGAGTCCCTTACGTCCCCCGGGGATTCTGTAAGCACATGCGGGCACCGACAACAACGTACACGGCCAATCCTTTCAACAAGCTCCTCAGACACACAGCCTCGAGGATTACGAGTCCTCCGCCTCCTCTGGCAAGTCCTAATGGTAATACGTGGTGAGATACGGTCCCTTTTTCTTTCGTATAAGAAAATGAAAGCCAGGCCTGATGGTCCGTCGCAACGTCCAAATCCTTGCCAGGACTGGGCTATAGGTCAGCCGAAGGGTACCGAAGAACGAGAAACGGGGGAAAGAAGAAATGGAGCAAGCCGCAACATGTCTTACTAGTAAAACTTGAGATTATTGGTGTAGGCAGCAGACTGATTGTGCATACTATGACGCTGAAAGAAGGCAGTCAACGCGTTGGCGATTCTCATTTCCGGATCCCCGTGAGAGGGTAGTATAACTTCGGCTTGGGGTGAGGTTTCCCCGGACTCATCTCATAGTTTAGCAGACATGGCATACGTGTTTCTGGATCTCCAGGCTGAGTCGGTCTGTCGGGGAGAGACCGCTTGCCTTCAACGATGCATAAGTCCTTCCACAGCTCGCGAAGCAGCTGCAACCCCTCCAGGGTCTCTTGGTCGGTAACCTTACCACTCAGAATCCAGTGTTCGGTTATCTTTGTAAGAGTGACTTCTACCTCAGCAAAGTACACCTTGACCCGGGTCTGGAGAGGATTGACTAGGTTGCAGGAAGCAAAATAAAGACCTGCTATGCTCTGACGCTGCATGTGGGTTCGGAGAAGCTGGCATGCAGCTTCAAGTTGACATTTGAAGTAAGGCGTAGGATTGTGTGATGAATGGAAAGAATGTTGCTACCTTGATTAATAATACTAGAGGTTCCTGGTATATCCTGCATAGGCTTCCGCAAAACCCAAATCGTGTCCTAGACCATTTAGACTCCGTTTGAACACAGTTTTGCATGAGACCGTGCTCTTGACATTCATGATTCCAAAATTCAATACTGTTCTCTACTCTTGTTCTTGTTCCCCATCTGAATATTGCTTGTTATCGAAAGGCTCAAGTGGCCGACAGGAGATTTGGTGACCAATATCGCTGCACAATGCAAGTCCCTACAGTCTTAGTCTGATATCACAGAGAGCAAAACTGCGTTCAAAGTCATCAGGACAGAAAACATAGATTTTTATTGGGCCCTTCAGACATACTATAAGCAATTTCGTTGCCTTTTGGGTGTGAACTTTTCAATAACTAATGAGATAGTCGGTCAAAAAGAACTAGTATACTGCTCCTGAACGGTTATAGATCTTATCGAATATACGAATACTTATAGTTATAGTTAGAACTAGAATAATCTACACTATTTTTACCACATACTACGTATCTTAGTCAACCCCTCAACAGCCAAGTAAACTTTTTCCGGGTCATCCAGGTGTACAAACACTACTATCGAAAGCGGAAAAACTACTTCCTGGTAATTCGCATAATACGTAAAAATGTGTTTGAAGTACGTATGATTAGCCAAAATCAAGATAGGGCTGAGGCCAACCCCGCGCGAGTCATCTCATCTTCTAACAAACAGAGAAAAGGTGGCCGATCCTGCCTGTCTGCACTCGTTCATGGGTAGGCAATCTTCGAGTTGTATGAGTCGTTCTGGTAGGGCTGATCGGCCTCGTATTCCCATTGCCACGTTGCTACACGTGACAACCTCCTTCTTCACCTCTTTCCTGTAGCTGCAGATAGGAGAATCAAGCATCGTCTCACTCCTTCTTTTCATCACGTTGCAGTACGCGACATCCATGCACCTTGAATATCTAAGTATAGGGGAAGTATGTAATTTCGAATATATGTAGCTGGGCTCCAGCCGTGTGATTTGTGTCTTCCACCCCTGTCCAAGCATCACACTGATTCGTAGGCAAACTCCGGACGGCGAAGTGTGCCCTTGCTGATAGATTGTAGTCAAAACAAGCATGTGGATGTGGTTGTAGACGGAACTTGGTATAAGCCTCAGGTGGAGATACGAGCTAGGGCGGCCACAATTCATCCCATCCTTAAGTATCATGCTTCCGCTTGCATATTGCTACCAGTGTATCGCCGCCGGTGCATATCCGTCAGGGCCGAACATACAATTCCCCAAGGACAAGGACAAGATGTGAGACATATCTCAGCTTCAGCATGATTGCATCTGGCACGTGTCGGACTCACCCCATGGGGTACCGAGGACCCTAGCCCTACCCCAGATACCAGGCTAGCAACAAACTATACCGAATAAAAGGGCCTCTACCTGACGTCTTTCAGCCTTCATTACCAGATCGTTCTTCACAAGGAAGAGATGGAGCATAATTCGCGATACAGTTGACCGAACAGAGTCGCCCCGAGCAAATGCCACAACAGAGGGCTGAAGATGTGAAAGATGCTCTCCAGAGCAAACATCTTGAATGGTGACAAAAATTCCACACACTTCAACTCTTTGCGCCTTTGTTGGGGTCAACTTTTACTGCAATTCCTTCGCGCGGATCGCAGTGGCGACTAGTCAGGGGTGCTAGAGTTATATCAGAAAAAGACATATCTCTAAAGCGTGGATAAACTGCTGGTCAGATGCGGAACTCGTCATTGCCTTATACTTCTACGCTGGAGGAGTGACAATTACACCTATTGCCCCTCTCCTTAGTCGTCGAGGCTTCTCTCGCACGAGACATGCGATTGCATCAAAGTTGAAGGTAGTTGGTGTCAGAAATCCTCTGCTGAGGCTGACTCCTAGGAACTGGAACCTCAGCGAGGTACACAAATGGATTGATAATCTTTCTTTGACGCACGACCAAGTTAACTCATTGATTCAAATTGACCACGAGGACATCGATATCGTTGATGAGGTATGTGGTAACTGTCCTTTCATCCCAGTCTTTTACATTGGAAACTGAGTAGTATGCATTTAACAGTCGCAATCTGTCACGGCTTTGCTGAATAAACAGTCCAGCATGGAGCGCTTCTCTACTTTCAGGGACATATGTGACTAGTTTCACTACTTTGTTCAAGCTTGAGGATCAGAAAGACGTCCCATAAACCGATGAACCCAAGTAACGCATTACAAAGTCTCAACTAGACAGATATCTAGGACTAATGAATCAAGTATGTAACATATAGAGGGTGCTCCTATTTAGCAAGAACTTCCTTATACTTTGGCTGGCAATCTATTAGAGAACAGACTGGCATTTGATGTGCGGTCAAGCTTGTTCTATAGGCGCAATAGCCCATTTCGATCCACGCAAATTCCTTCAAACCCTGAGGCCCCAAATTGCTGGGTGCAGTCACCTTTCCCAATACAACTTCATTTATTAGAGAGATAAACGGGGAAATGACTTGGTGAGTAGCCAGTTAATCTGAATGTTTTCAACTATCCTGAATGTGCTGATGCCAACTGCAATTTATAGGTCGAGCACGTATGACCGGGGTGAAATTACCGGGGTTTGCATGTTAGAATCTTGTTCGATGTTGACAGTCGCCCGATACTGTATAACCACACTCCGTTGTCCTCGGACGCTAAAAAAACACATACAGAGTAGTATTTTTATTGAATGCCTCTCCAATACCCGCGCACGAAAATCCCACCCCTAAACCTAAATGTGAGCCTATCTATCTCTTGGAAGGGTTTTGGGTCAAGTCATCGGCAAAGTCATAGGAAATATAATAGACTGAGCAACATCTACAGTATTTGATTGTTTTGGATTCATCTTGTATTGAACCAAAACTACTGAGGTGTATCATATTTGCAGTGTAAGAGAGACGACACGGTCAATAGGTGAATGTGTATCACCCCTGTGCGTCGCCTGTCGGCCCACCGGTAAACGAAACGGTGCAACATAAATGTCAGAATGAAAATCGCAGTTCCAGCAGAGGATAAACCTGCTGTACCTTTCAAGCTTTGCTTGGATATGGGCTGTGCTCTTCGAAGTTGGTCAAACATGGAATCGGTATCGACGGAGCTTGTCGGGGGTCTCGGAGGCCGTAGTCGTCGATGGCCTCTGATCCGGGCCATCAGGAGTCGTGCACATACCTGTGGTACATAAAGGGTTTCCAGGGACCATATGTGTCGATTATGGCATCATTCTGTCATCATACATTGGCGTGGCAGGCGTCGTCGTACTTGACCGTATTCATTAACAAGTGTTGGCGTAGGAATACCGGTGGGAACCGTCTGCCTTTCTGTCGCAATTTTCAATGGCTCTTCGCTATAATTATCGGCTTCTTGACCAGAGGGCGGAGGTGTGATGAGAGGTTTTGTCTGGGTCTTAATAATAGGAGCACTATTTCGCCAGCTCCTTGACAAAAATTCCATCGCTTGAGCAGGTGTCGACGCGATTGGTTGTGGGTGTGACAGTCGACTTGTATTTAACGTGCTGTGAGCTGGAGATGAGAGTTGAGCACAGGCTGAGCACCAACTGGGTGCTCACTGAGTGGTGAGTCGTGATGTGGATTACTCACTGAGCAAGCCCTTGAGCGCCCTCAATAAAGCGGCGATGTCTACCCCAGGAAATTTACGATAATGAAGAAAAACAGGTACGTATAGTGACATACATACACTGTGTGCTTGACAGATGATATGGAGACCGCGCAAAGCTAGCTGGAAGAGGTTAGCGTTGCGCGGTGATCAACGGTTATGACATTACTAGCGTATGTTAAATATCCAATCAAGGCTTATATTTCTTATTGACGGTTTGCATGTTTTGCTTCTTTGGATACAGTGACTTTTTAAGAGGATACATAAATATAATCAGGTTCTGGGATCATGCCGGGGTTCAACGATTGCCAGGGTGCATGGAGAATGCAGTGAATGCAAGCTGATAACTATCTGTTAGTTCCAAATACCTTCTTACATAAAAATCCACAGCCTTGTGCCATCAAAAGACAAACTAAACGTGGTCGTCTTACGTGAGATTATAGTCTGACAGCTAACTACTTATAATTCCGCCAACTTGCCCCAAGAATTGATTCCTTGCCAGGAGCTAGTAGATTCAAAAAATACCAGCAGCATGTCTTCGGTAGGCCTCACCTCGTCGCTCGAGGATTTCCTCGCACAAACCTATGACTACCTCATCATCGGTGGAGGAACTGCTGGTCTGGTTGTCGCATCACGGTTGTCTGCAAACCCCGATGTGAAAGTGGGAGTCATTGAGGCAGGGGATGCAGGGTTTGATGATCCAAATATCACCAATCCTGGAAAGATTTCGGCCATGCTACATAATCCCAAGTATGACTGGATGTACCAAAGCACGCCACAGGTAGGTCTTTCCGACCCTCTACGCTTCGGAGCAGGCTAAAGGCTCCTAGGCGCAGAACCAAAATCGATCCCATCACATTCCCCGAGGTAAAGTGCTCGGAGGATCGAGCGCGATTAACTTCATGGCGTATGGGAGACCTTCCGCGGTCGACCTTGATGACTGGGGCACCATAGCGGGAAACATAGCGGGAAACAGCGATTGGTCATGGGCAGGACTAGCTCCGTATTATCGAAAGAGCGAACAGCTTGAGTCGGCTGGATTGACCGGCACTGCATCGGAACTCTGTCCCGTGCAGAAAGAGGCACATGGCACGCAAGGCCCGATTCACACTTCGCTAGGCCCTTGGCAGGCTCCTATTGAAACCCCCCTGCTAGCCGCAATGGACGAGGTGTCGGGGCTGTCTCGGCCCCAAGAGCCATGGAATGGAGAGCACTTGGGCTTCCATCGCTGCCTCTTCACGATCGATCGAAGCGCTGGCCTCCCACATCGCAGTTAC